AAAAAAAAATGCATACTTCTCTGATTAAGAATGGGACAAAATATTTTATTTGTTATCCAATAATTGGTTATAAAAATAATGTATTATAAATAACATCAGCAACTTTTATTCAGAACTATCCAAATGTCTTTCAAACTCTGTAAAAATAAGCAAAGTCATAGCAAACAATTTTTTAATTATGGAGGAGAAAACATCTTCAGTTTTGAATCAAAAAATGGCTATAAATTGTAGAAGAAATAGCATAGGTATATGTAAAAATCTATGCTGAACAAAGTTTTTTACATTTATTTTTTCATATTTTCAATAGTTTATGAGTTATGTGACAAATAATAACACACTATCAAAATTAGGCTTTAAGCTGACCTTGGTAAATAATCAGCTGGCACACAGCGTATTATGGCAGTGTAATCAGCTGGCACTGTGGTTGGCTTAACACATAAACAGCCGGCAGTGAAAGGGTTAACATCCATGTGTATGTGTATAATAATTGTGACTATTTGTAATTTATAGGAATATATCGCACTATCTTCTATCAAGAATGAATACACTATCAAAAAGTATTATTGCATGTGACAAGGCTCTTCGTAAAGTTATGTTACATATTTGTCGAATGAGGGCGGTAGGGTCAAATCATTGATCAAAATAAAATGCTTCTACTGTACAACAACAAATATATATGTATACAATGCAAGATAAAAATCAGTATAATCACGTAATTGTTTTAAATATCAAACTCCCACACTTTCATATATGTGAGTTCTTTTTACATTTTGATGACGTCATCATGGTCAAAATAAATGTTTTTTCTGACTCCCCTCATCTTTCTCTCCTCAGAAATTTTTTAACCCCATAATCATCTTAACCAGTTGTCATTTCTGAATCATATTTAGTAAGCATAAACTTCAGGTCAAGGTTGAATGTTATGTACCTTAATTTTGTGTGTGCGCATCATAACGTGCGCGTACGTGTGCGTCACATTTTCTATATGCTTAAAATCATGAATATTTTTATTCAGTTATAGCTCCTTAGAATGATCGGACATTGTGACGTCATCATATTGCCATCTGAATTAAAAAAACTGAATTTTTATATTATGAATGATAATAAGTTACTCACCAACAGGTGTTTGTCAATGAGAGTTGATACATACATATCTCATATCATGAGTGAACATTTCGTGACATTACCATGCACACGTGCGTCATGACGTGCACATACGCATGAGTAAATCTTTTAAAATGCTTCATATTCTTTTTAAAAAAAATGAATTAGCGTATACTTTGGGCCATTTTGCAGCATTTAAAAATTGTTCAATATGCACCGCTCGCGCTTCCTGAGGGTCAAAGTTCGGCGGATCACCAAACTCGTCCTCAGTGACGAGTTCAAATAGTACCAGGGGCTTGGGTTTGTTTCATCCTGCGAAAATTGGGATTACAGAACTGGTGGATGAAAAAATTGAGACTGCAGAACTACTGTAAATCCTGGCAATGTAAACCTGGTTATTTTTAGTATTTTAAGTCACTTAGAAGAACTACAATGGGGCATCTGTTCTGATGAGGGCATATACATAAAAATCAATTAGAACTCTCTAAATAATTTATGAATATAACATACACATTTAAACTGTACATACCAATTGAACATATGGTCAACATTTTCAAGCTCTTTCTTTGCTTTTTTTTTTTTTTACAGGCTTTCCACCTTTGCAATCAGTTACCCATTTTTGATGTTATTCTGCAAAGTTTTATTTAATGAAAAAAGGATCTCAAAACTAAGATTTTTAACTAGTGTAAACTATTTTTTACTTGGTACGTTTGATAGTTGTTTGAATTTGCGTGGCATAAATTTATTTGTTTGTTTGTCTGTTTGTCTGTCTGTGAACAGTCTACAGCTAACTATTTTTATCAGAAATTTGTAAAACTTTGTCACAATGTTCCATGACCAACAATCTAAAGATGATTAAAATTTGTAGGGTCAAATTCACAGGTCAAGGTCACAATTTTCGAAAAACTACTTTTTTATATGTAAAACAGCCTACAGCCGACAATTTTTATCAGAAATCCGTAAGCCTTAGTCACAAGGTTCAATGACCAACAATCTAAAGATGATTAAATTTTGAAGGGTCAGGACTAAAGGTCAAGGTCACAATCCATGAAAACTACTTTTTATAATAGCAGTCTACAGCCAACAATTTTTATCAGAAACTCTTCAAAGGGACAGTATGCATGACAAATTTATACAGAAGAAATTTTATGATGTGGTTGAAGGTATGCACTCTCAGAGTGTCCTCTAGTTATTATTGATTTAATTAGAAATGTTCATACCCTCTTTTTGACTGAAGTTTGTGATATCAGACCAAGTATTTCTAATTTCAGGAAACACTGGCACGTTGGAAATGGACTTATCTGAAGGAATGACTTTCACAAGTGTTGAACAAGAAGTTGAAGAAGAGGATCAAGATGGTAGGTGTATGGTACCTATGAAAGATGATTTTGGAGGGTGGGATTATACCCGGGATTCTCCTGTGCATGAACAAACGAAAATGATGATCGTTTTGCGAAGTGGCAGATGCATTTGAACAGTTTGTGCTGTGGGGAGTAGGCAAATAACATTGGGAGTTGCAGTGATGATGTCATGATTGACTTATAATTGTAGTTAGTAGGCCTAGTTAGGCGTACCTTGGTCTTACCTCGTGCAGGCCATCCCTTGCCTAACTTTGCTTTCTTGATGTAGGTTATTTATTGCCTAGCAGCAACCAATCCAATCACCCATCGCATGTGAAAGACTGCCCACTTGTAATGAATGATGTCACAAGTTATTTTTATTAGCAGTCGAGTTTATGTGGAACATGTTGTGAATTTATGATCCAATAGCCGCTGTTAGCAAGCTGTTTGTTGTTAGCGGCAGTAAACAACAAGGATTTACAAGGCTGTGCTTACGGTATTAAACTTTACGGCGCACCAATGTTTGGTCTAATCAATTGAAAGTGTTTCGGGTCTGCCAGATTCGGAGACAACGCTTTTATGTGTTTTTGTGAGCATTTGTACAATTCACCGACCTAGGTCTAGGCCTACTCACCAAATTATACCCTGGGAAATGCTTGTACGCGAAGTTAGGCGTAATGTAGGAGGTGGGATTATACCGGAGTTGGGACTACACCTGAGAACTACTA